CTTTGTACTGTCATTATCTGACTCCACAGAATGAACTCCACCTACAACTGTACTCCCTAACAGTCTATAGATATTACCTGCAGTCAACTTTCTTTTCATCACCGTCAGTGCACCCTTAACAATTCTGATGGTTTCTCTATCCTCATCAGCCTTAGGAATAAAACTATTTCTGTGTAGAGTGCCCAAGGAAATCAAATTCTTCTTCAGATCTGGAATATGTCTGATATCACATAATGTTCTAATTGTGTCATCATACATCTGAATTCTGACTTCTCCAATACCAACTATCAGCATCTATCATCACCCAAATAGACTGAGCCAGAATTAGTTGACCTGTATGAAGTAAACCAGTCCCTGTTAAGTGTTATGTGATATAAGCACCTGAATCAAGAATCCATGCATCCGTGAACTGAGTTGATGAAACTGAGAGCATATCGTCATCACTGCAATCTGAATTTTCATCCTGCACCACATTCACAGACTTCGATGAAGTATCACCTTTCTCCCCAGTCTGCTTCTTCAGCTTTGGACAATCTCGCTTTATATGACCTGGCTCCTTACACTTGTAGCAATGAATTTCTTTTTTTGCCTCTAGACTTTGATCTAGAATTTCGCCTTCCAGATCCCTCCTTCTCTTTCTTCCTTCCACGATCATGCTTACTCTTCACATATAAACTGTCACCGTGAGATCTTTCCCCTGCATTCTGCTTCCACTGGTTGTGAGCCAACAACGCTGCAGTAATCTCATCAACTTTGATAGTCTCTTTCTCATATGTCAGAGTAGTCATCAGGTGTTCATAGGAAGAGGGCAACGAACACAACAAAATCATCGCTCGATCTTCATCCTCAATACTCACATCAAGCCGTGACAGGTCTGTGATTATTTGATTGAAGTCATTAACATGCTGCACTAGATCAGAACCTTCCTGCATCTTCAGCCCATACAACTTTTGCTTTAGATATAACTTGTTCGTCAGAGATTTTGTCATAAACTGAGCTTCCAATTTCTTCTAAATCTCCCCTGGAGATTTCAGATTCATCACGTGATACATAATTTCATCTGTCAGACGCGTATCGTCGTTGCCGCTCGCTGTTGTAATTCTTCCCAATCTTCATCCTCCATGGCATCTGGTTTTGCTGCCCGCAGAGCTTTCAAGATTCTTTGTTGCGCCAACAGA